ATATATGTATGTATGTATTTTTGATTTTTTTTCATTACAGAGATAGACAATGTGGGGCAGGGTCACATTCAGCTGGCGCAAACCCTTCGGGAGGAAGCAAAGAAAATGGAAGACTTCAGGGAAAAGCAAAAACTGCATCGGAAAAAGGTCAGGCACTACAGGAGCACATGCCTTTGCCACACGGTGTTGACGCTGCCCCAGCAATGGGCTGTTCCCAACTGGTGTTTCCTGCCATGCCCCAGCCCCCTCTGTGCCCCACCGGTGACTGCTGCTGCCAGGAAGCCCTGAGCTCCTTCCTACATGTTGCAACTGTGTTGGTGAACTGTGCGGCAACCTCTGACTTCCTCCTTCTCACTGACACATCTCCTCCTTTGTGCACCTTCTGGGGCCAGCGATAGCAGGGGCTCAGATCCATGGATTTCAGCCTCAACGAGATTTTTTTTAAAGCATATATATGTAATCATAGAATCATTTAAATTGGAAAACACTTTTAAGATCATTGAGTCCAACCATCAACCTCTCACTGCCAAGTCCACCTCTAAACCACGTCCCCAACTGCCAATTCTACACTCCTTTAAACACCTCCAGGGATGGTGACTCCACCACTGCCCTGGGCAGCCTGTTCCAATCCTTGACAACTCTTTTGGTGAAGAAATTTTTCCTAATATCTGACGTAAACCCCCCCTGGAGCAACTTGAGGTTGTTTCCTCTCGTACTCTCACTTGTTACTTGGGAGAAGAGACTCATCCCCCCTCTCTGCCCCCTCCTGGCAGGGAGTTGCCGAGGGCCAGGAGGTCTCCCCTCAGCCTCCTCTTCTCCAGACTGAACCCCCCCAGTTCCCCCAGCCGCTCCCCAGCAGACCTGTGCTCCAGACCCTGCCCCAGCTCCGTTGCCCTTCTCTGCCCACGCTCCAGCCCCTCAATGGCCTTTTTGGAGTGAGGGGCCCAAAACTGAACCCACTCATGCAGGTGTGAATTACTGCATATGTGTGTGAAGAGATCAAGGCGAGACAGTCCAACAGATTCCAGCTGAGCTTCTGATGTACAGTGCAAGCACAACTTCTGAGCTGCAGTCAGCCCCAAAAGCCCAGGAGATCCCCTAAGGGATTCCACCCATGCCCTGGAGCACTCTGTCCCAAAACCCAGCTGAACTGAGCTGGGCCAGGAGGATAACCTATGCCTGACCCCAGCATGGCACTGTTTTGGAGCTTTCTCTGCCATTTTCTTCCCACACTGTTGCCAGCAGGTTTTGGCACTGCCAAGCATCCTGACAAACACAAAGAAGAATAATTACTTACGTTGCTTGAAAACATCCAGGGATCTCTTCAATGTGCTGAAAAACAGGCAGAGCATTAAAAAGAGTGAGAAGACACAAACAAGTGCAGGCATCAGCAAAGCACCTCTCCCAAACCAGAGAGCAAGTCCCTCACTCAATGCCAGCCAAAGCAGCTTGAAGCAGGTTTATTTACCCTCTTTACACCTCCGTCCTGTTCCCTCTCAGTGAGTATAACACAGATCACTTGATCTGAGATCTACTTCACATCTTTTAAACACTGGATGCTATTAAAAATTCTCAATTTCATAACAAATGTCTCAGGCAACCTCCTAAAAGTATCATTTGGGACATATGAACACCTTCTACACGGGCATTGGCCAGTGGTTGGAAATGCAGGGAACTCTTCTCCCTAGTACTATTGTACAGTGAAGATTTCAGAAACTGTAAATAAATGTTCAGAGAATATCATACCTGACACATATAAAGTACAGAAACAAAGCAGGAAGCAGAAGGTGCCAAGTGTCACTGGAAAAATAAGAGACCTACTCAGGAAGCCAACCGCAGTGGCCACAGCACCCTTGTGGGGTGGTAACATGCTGGGCTTTGAAGATTTGCATGGTTTGAGTCAAGGAAGTACCTGTACTTCCCTCTAGACACAAAAGATCAGCACAAACCCAAGGTCTCATGATCCTCAGCCCTCTGCTGCCCACATCTCTCCTGGGCATCTACAGTGCTTTGGTGAGTCTACAGCTGGTGGGAACCTCGTGGACTCCAACTCATTTGTTGGCAAAGCCCAACCCAACTGTACACCATTCATCCACAAGCCCCATTTCAGATCATCTTCTGGTGGTGTCCCAATCATATTTCAACACTGTTTTGTCTCTCACAGCCTCCTTCCTTCTTCTCCTTCATTGCTCCAGGTAAGGACACCCATAAAAGCAAAATACACGCAGGACTGTGAACTTACTTCAGCTCTGTCTGCCCGCAGGGCTTCTTCTTTGACAAGTTAATGAGCTCTTTGCCATATTTTTCTTCTATAATTGCCCTGTTGGGGAAAGAGAGAAATGAGAGGAAGTTCTCATTTCAGAAACTGATAGTTGTTTGCAGCAGAGGCAAAGACCCGTTCTTAACACCCTCCCTGTCTCCTGACCTGCTGCAAACCAACTGTGAACAGTTCGCTCAAGGAAGACTGTTGTTTGCAGTCACCCAACAGCCCTTCTAGTGAAAACACTTCATTTTGCTGTGTCTGTGGTCCTGATACGTTGCTCACAACATCTCCCCATGTCCCATGGGTGCAAGGACCACCTCCACAGGAGATGGAGGACTAAGCAGCCAGTGCAGCTGGCTAGATGCAGCCAGGTGAGTCACCTGAGTAGTTTTTAGCTCAGTTTCCTATGGGAACAGTGTTTGCACGATCACACATTTTCTGCATCTTGACCATCAGCATCTGTTGTTCCATCCACACAAAGTACTTTTGAATCTGATTTGTCTGATTTAAACCAAATGTGACAGAAGGGAGTAGGCACCTCAAAGACCACTCAGACATCATACATGCACCCCAATACACAGCTGGGCCATTTTCAGATCTTCAGGACTTTTTAAAATGAGGCAATAGATAGTCTCCCCTGCCTGCCTCTGGTCCTGAGGGAGCACGCTTGAAGAGGCCACATCTTGTGAGGTAACATAAATCACACCTTTGAGAGATTGTAATGTCCTCCCCTGATGGAAGAAAGAGTCAAGGGGAAAGAAAGCCCATGTGTTATAGTCTAAGAAAAACCATCTTTCTGCAGTTCATTTGAAATCTGTACAGACAACGAGGGATGGACTTGCTTGGTCAAATGTAGGTATCTCCATGTGGGCAAGCCAGCTGCCTGCAATCAGTGGAGAGAAACAAGTACGGCTAGAGGCTTGTATTGGCAGGTCTACTGAGTAAAATGAACAGCTTCCTAAAATGTCTGCATCTCTAATGCACCTGCAGATACCTATGTTGTTCATTTCTAGAGTTTGGATTCACCTAACTTAACTCTTTAAAAACTCCAAAAGCATGCAGGGAGATGGAAAAAATAAAGATTATATATTGACTATTTTTCCTCTACCTAACAATGTTCCCATGGACTTCCTTTTGAGACAAAGCATCACATCCAGCAGGCATGTTCTCCATGGCTGAAACCATATAACAGCTGTGCTGTACGTGGAGAACTGGGCCATGTTCAGAAGGGTGCCAGTAGCAAGTACAGGTCCAGCCTCTAATGTTCTCCTGTCTAGACACTTTGGTGGGAACCTACACTTCCTTCAACAGCAAAGAGGAACGGGGTACAGGGTGTAGAGGAGGGCTTTCTCCTTTGTCACAGTTCTCAGGGTTTAGCAAGTGGTTCCTCGAGCAGCTGGAAAGCACAAATTTTCCTGGAACATGGGATTACAGCCTAAACAGATGTAGGTGCATTAGACACTTTTAACTGGAGGTTCTCCTCCTCTTCATCCCCATTAAATTTGTTCCAGGCTGGTTTGTACCAAGTCTTGTATTCAGAGGTTTGTTTTCTCCAGTTCTCAATACCAAAATTACATTCATTCAGGGTCATTCTACAACACTCTTCAGATTTAGCCTTTGCTAACCAGGTGAACCATAAAGTCAAAACACAGGGCCAGACCATCTCAGTTGTGCCTTTATAGCCACAGAGCCTCTACTTAGGTCATATCCTCAGATTAATAAATGCAGTATCTAATGCTACTACTTTTTAACATAAAATCTGTGAGCTGTCCATAATGTACAAAGAGAAATTCAGGTCAAAGTTGTGCCTCCCCTATGCCAAGGTCTTCACCTGATCTTCTGCAAGCTGAACTGCAAGGTGAACTTCATGGAAGAGTGTGTGGCCTGGGCAGGGCACTAACAGCTGCAAACACATCAGTACAGAGGTCTGACAACACGTAAGACTGAATTATTAAACTGCTCCTGATTCCCCTTTCTTTTTAGCTTCAAAATATGAGCATGAAACTCTGGGCACTATCCTGAGCATGGACTCCATACCACAGCACCAGCCATGCAAGGAAAGGACAGTGTAAGAAAACAAGTTCCTCATCAGACTAAAATCAAAGGTGGTTTAATACGGTGGATGTTAAACACCCACGTTAAACTTGACAGAAACCAAAGTGGGAATATAAGGAGAAGTAGTGCCACCACCTCACTTCTCAGGTCAGCCCAACCTGTTTTCAGAGGCAGCTCCATACCTTTCCTTCAAAAAGTCTTCAAACTCTTTGCAGTTCTTCCTGCTGTCATTCAGATGTTGAATGATGCTGTCGTAGCCAACTGTGCTCGTCAGATCCGTACTCTGAAAACACAAGAACAGGAGTCACATCCTCGTCAGTGCAGTCCAACAGCCACTGCCACCTTCAGAAGCATTTGCACAAGTGATGGCTCAGCCTGGTGCAAGTGTGCAAGTGCCTCTTGATGAAATATGATCTTTTAGGGGTGGGAGAGGCTCCAGAATGAGAACAACGGTGGCAATTTGGGACAAGGCATTTCTATGACTTTCAGAAAACAGAAATGCTCAGTCCTACCACATCCTATTGCTCCCCTCTGGCCTAAGCACAGCTGGCCCCACAACACATGGCATCTCCTCCTAGGAGCTTAGCTGTCAGCTCTAATTTAACAAAATCAAACACTAAGAACCCTCCAATTCTCTCTATATAGCCCCTCTTACTACTGCTCCTCCCAGTTTCTTCAGACATGGAGATTAATCTTGGTTGGAGGTGACTTGTTCTATTCTGGGCATCACCTTCATGTCTATCTGTAGGAGTCTACACCTGGGCTGGGGGTGAATTTATCAGACCTTCCTGCACAGGAACACTGAGCTATGGGCTTCTCTTCCTGCCCTCACAGTAATACATGGATGCACCCAATGACTGCTGCTGCAGCAGCCTTCTCTTTGGCCTTGTAAAAAGCAACACTGTCCCACACATCACTTCGAAACACCACTGCAAAGATCATTTCCCTAAGTACCAGGTCCTCCCCACCGCTGCTGTATGCCCTCCAACACATTACGAAGGGATAGCTTCTTCAGTCCCCACAAAACTTCACAGCCATGGAGAGGTCCTGCCTCCAGCATCCACAGGGCCAAGTCCCATCTTCCAACTCTGGCCTCTCAGCCCTGAAGTGCCACTCACACTTCCCATAGTCTTCTGAAGGATCAGTGCTTTGCTTCAAATTACCTCTCAAAAACATATATTGTACTGCTGCTTATTAAAAAAATAATGCCACAATGATGTAGGTGGACTAGGGTGAAGGTTGACTAACTCTACCCCATTCTTTTCTCATACCCATGCCTGGAAGCAAATAGGAAACAAATTAGGACAAATAATGGATTTTTTCCCTATGACTGTTGAGTATTTACCACCCTGGAGACACAGGCTAAGATCAAGGCTCCTAAGTGCTGTCATAATACAAAGAGATGCCCTGACCATGAATCCTCCTTCTCTGGAAGAAAACTGAAGCAGATGCAGGGAGCTGAGCAGAAGGTGCTACCTGTCATCTTCTGCAAAGAGAACCAGTCAGTGTTGCACAAAACAGCACATATGGGAGCAAAAAAATATAGCGAAAGAGGCTGCAGAAAGGAAGCAATGGTAGGAGCAGATATGAAAAACTCAGGGAAAGGGAGAAAGAGTCACAAACGGTTGTTAAGAAACTTGAAGAGGAATAATGGCAGGATGGAAAGATTCAGAAAAATGTCTGAAGCCAGGATGAGAGTATGCAGAGAACTGGGATGAAAATATGGGCAGCAGAAGGGGGGATTTCCTGGGAGGTCATACCCCTTGCAAGAAATGAGGAGGAACAGGACTGGTATTTGTGATAAATGAAGGATTTAATTATGTTGACTTCCCTATAGAGTCAATGACTTCACTGCCAGTGACCAGAAAGAAAGAAGTGAAGTGGAAATCTGGGGGAGTGGGACCTGCAGGAAATCCCTGGGTATCCCAGACCAGCTTTGCTCCGCCTGTGGCATGCACAGGAAGAAAGGACTGTGGAGCAGAGGCTAAGCAGAAAGCAAAACACTTTCTATTTCTTTACAAAGCACAAACTTCCCTCCAAAATGGGTTTGTTATGATAAGCCCACTACTAGTTCTCAGTTTGCATTGTGTCTTTGCTAATCAGGTCTGTGAAAAAGGAAACACGCTTGCACTGAAGTCAGTCCTCAGTTGCAAAACACAGGAAGATCCCAATTTGACTTCCTATCCTCGGTTTCAAAGGAAATAAGATGGATGCAAAGAATAACTGTCGGTCAGTGCAAGCCCGGGCAGGGTGGAGCGGTCAGACCCCCATCACTGTGTGTGAGGGGGCACCCAAAGGCTCCCACACCCCACCCTGTTGCTGGGATACCTGGGCTTGCTGCATCAGGCAGAAGTTCCAGGGGAAAAACTGGAAGCATCCATCAAAAATGTGCACTAAACTCTTAATTTTATCACCTGTCCTCCTGCAGTAGAAGGATTTAATTCCAGCACGTATCTCCTAAGTGAAAGGCTGAACCAGACATCCCAGTGCAAGGTGTATATGAAACATGGGAGGTGACAGAGACCGTGGAGGTTTCCAAGAGAGCTGCTTGTAAGGCAGAAGTTGCTCCTGATCCAGAAGGAGCTGGACAGGGTTGAGACCAGCCTTTGCAGCACCCTTCTGGGCAGATGTTGGCACGGACAGAACAGAAAGGACCTGTGTGACTGCCTGTAGGGTGTCCCAAAGGCAGGGGTGGCAGGGAGCAATGAAAGAGGAAGAGCAACACAGCAAGCACAGAGCCATGGGTGCAGAGGACAAGATTTAAAGACATAATCAACTAAGCCAAAGACAGATATGCAGGATGGGGAGTTGCACCAAGCCCTCCTCAACCAGAGGAATAAGGGAGGATGAATATCTTTCTTCCCACCCTGCAGCACATCTGTCATGGTCCTCCCCACTGGGCAGAGCTCTGAGCCCAAGAGCTATCTGGGGACAGCCCATGGAAACTACAACTACAAACCGATGACAAAGCAGCAGCTGATGTTTCCCAAGCTCACAGGGCTCAGCAGGACGTGTTGTCCCTGCCCCCCCTTTCCCAACCTGCTGCCCGGATTTGCACCATCCTCTCAATGAGGGGAAGGAATTTCTGTGCTTGTTGTGATATTTTGGGGGATGTTTGCACTTTTATCCAAGCGAAGCTAAAATACTCTAGTGGGGATCTGAAGTAACATTATGACATTGTGTGAGCCACAGCTAAAATGCAAGCTGCTGAGCTTGACATTTCCATCTTCTACCCCACTTCACATGGAAAACTCTCTCCAGACACAGACCCTATAAAGCCATTGAAATGAGAGAATCAGAGAATCATTGAGGTTGGAAAAGACCTTTAAGATCATCGAGTCCAACCATTAACCCAGCACTGCCAAGTCCACCACTAAACCCTGTCCCCAAGTGCCACTTCTACACTCTTTTAAGCACCTCCAGGGATGGTGTCTCCACCACTGCCCTGGGCAGCCTGTTCCAATGCTTGACAACCCTTCCAGTGAAGAAATTTTTCCTAACATCCAATATAAACGTCCCCTGGGGCAACTTGAGGCCATTTCCTATCATCCCATCACTTGTTACTTGGGAGAAGACACCGACCCCCATCTCGCTACAACCTCCTGGCAGGGAGTTGCCGAGGGCCAGGAGGTCTCCCCTCAGCCTCCTCTTCTCCAGACTGAACCCCCCCAGTTCCCCCAGCCGCTCCCCAGCAGACCTGTGCTCCAGACCCTGCCCCAGCTCCGTTGCCCTTCTCTGCCCACGCTCGAGTCACTCAATGGCCTTTTTGGGGTGAGGGGCCCAACACTGAACCCAGGAATCGAGGGGCTACCTCCCCAGTGCCGAGCCCAGGGCTCAGATCCCTTCCCTGTCCCTGCTGGCCACGCCAGTGCTGACACAAGCCAGGATGCCTTTGGCCTCCTTGGCCCCCTGGGCACACTGCTGGCTCCTGTTCAGCCGGCTGTCAATCACCCCCCCAGTCCCTCTCTGACTGGCAGCTCTCCAGCCACTCCTCCCCAGGCCTGTAGCCCTGCTGGGGGTTGTTGTGGCCCAAGGGCAGGACCCAACACTGAGCCTTGTTGAACCTCACACAATTAGCCTTGTCCCATCAATCCAGCCTGTCCTGATCCCTCTCTAGATCCTTCCTACCCTCAAGCTGTCTGTCCCAGCCTTCCCAAAAATGAAAGGTTTGCCGCACTGCACTGCTCATGAACCATTCCTTGGAAGATCTTGATTTACGCAGAGCTCTTAGGATCTCTCTGCAGCCTTATCTGCTTAGAGAAAGACAGCAGGAACTGTATCACTATTTCAGTAGTCAAAAACACCATGCAACAATAAATTGCTGTGCTATTCTTGCTCACGGTTAGTACAGGTTCAGAATCTCTCAGGGTCCTGCAAAGGTTGCTGAAACCAAGAAAAAGGCTTGTGCTGGTGCTTGCAGGGAGAAGGGTGAGGAGATCAGGAGATACTGCAAGAGGCTGCAGCTTCTCCTCATCCGATAACCAGATGGATGCAACAGGACAGACAAAACTCATTGCAGGTACAAAAAAGACTCGCTGCAAATTCGCCCACCTGAGATCTGCATCCTGCAAAAAGCAGCTTTTTGATTAATAATTTGCCATTGGGAGTTGCCTTCCCCAATGCCAACACACCTACCCTGCTCCTCCCAGAGACACTGAGAGCAACAGACCATCCCCTAGATGGAATTACTTCTTCCCACAAACCCCACCTTGTTCCTTTCAAACGATGACCTGAGAATTTCATAACGCTGCAGATAAACCCCACACACCAGTCCCCCATTTAGAGAAGGACAAGCAGGAGTAAGGGGAAGTGAAACGGCCCAGCCAGCATCACACCGTGAGTCAGCAGCCAGGGAATGCACTCAGGAGCCGGGGGCTGGCAGCTTCCCCCATCCCCTGACAGCGGGGACACAGAAAACAGAGTTTAACCCCAGCCAGCCTCAAAAGGCTAAAAAAAATTATTTGCAGGCACCAGCACTCCCATACTCTACAACGAGGGGCAAAGCATTTTTCCTCCACGCTTCCTTTGTGCCATTTCAAAAAGAGAAGCAATAGCTCTTTCCAATGTGTTGGGGGTAAATAAGTGTTTTCAGATACTTTGCCACATGCTTTGTTAGAAAATTAAATATGCCAGTGCAGCTTTTACCGCAGATGACTTGTCTGAGCCATGGTTTGTTTTAGCATCATTGTTTTTTCTTGGCATGACAAAGGAATATTTGGGAGTGCCTAAAAGATTTAGATACCTAGGTCCAATTTTCAAAAATCATTTGACCAGGCCAACCTCACTGAGAGTCAGCAGGACACAGACTTCAGAATTGTGTGACTATTTTTTTTTTTTTTAATGTTTTACCAAATGCCTCTTTTCAATGCACCCTGCAGTACACTGCGAGAGCAGTGCACTGGTTTTCTGTTCTCATTAAAAGCAAAATGATCAAAAATCCACACTCCCAAGTTGCAAGCTGTTAGCCAATAGATGACACTTCGAAGTGTTTTTTAGTGTTATCATAATTTCTATTTTTCCCACATAGTTTTACAGTGCTGAACTGCTCTGATGAGACACAAAGCTTTGCTGTTGGGTTACCTGAAATACTGTGGAAGAACAGGCTTGGGGAGAACCAAGCATGTAGCCAGAAAATTATTAAAGGGAAAAAAGAGACCTTGTGTAGTAAAAGAAGAACAGCAGCTTGCAAAAACAAATGAAAACAAAACCCCACAGTTGCTCAACTTGTAGCAATCACTACAGGCAGAGCAAGGGGAAATAAACATGATCTTTGACATATTTTTATTTGTGCACAGCTCTGCTGCAGGCAGCACAGGCTGCAGGAGGAAGCATCACATGAGCCAGGGCATTTGGGGTGAGGACCTGCATCTTTGGGCACCTCTGGACCTCAGTGGATGCAAAAGAGCAAACCCCTTTATTTAAGGAAAATTATCATCTTGTGCTGAGACCTAAGGGCATGAGCAAACTTGGATGCAGAGAGCAAAGTCGCAGTGTGCTTTACCGACACAGCGCATCATGAGCATCACACCATGAACTTTGTCAGGGACCAGGTTCCAGGCAGTGAAAGACACACAGACACACGTACCCCCACCAAAAAAAAAAATCAGAACTTCCGGGATTTAAAGCTGAATTAGTCCACAGAGAAGGTTTGAGGCACAGTCCCACTACCCCGGTAGAGCAAGGGGGTACTGCAGCTCAACCCCACAAAGAAGTTCTGCGGTCACCATTCACAAACATCTGCATTTCAAAGGTGGAGTGTGCAATACCAAAACCGGTTTGGCTTTTAGGGGGGTTGGTTATTTTTTAGTCTTTGTTCCATCAACTGGAACATCCTTTCCTCAGAGCCCTTCCAAAATCTCCCCTTTCCCACCTGACCGCTGTGAAATTTGCTTTGGCAAAGAAGAGTTCTCCTTCCCTTTTCAGCTTAAGCAAAGTAATTTAAGAGGAAAAATTGCAGGAGGAAGTTTGCTCTCTCTCACAACACTCAACAGCAAACCAAAGCTGGGTGAGCAGCCCTTCACACCTCATCTAAATTTATTTTCTTCTGCACATTTCTCGTTCTCCCTCTCCCTCCCCAGCCCTCACAGCTGATGCACAGTCACCCATGCGTGGCATGGAGACTGCTTGGGGTGGTACCTGCCTTTTCCATGGGCCAAACAACCGCAGCAGGGCCTCGATCTCTCCACTGAGTCATGACCATCACGCTCCCACCCAACCTCTGCCCCAGCTGCCTGCCCCAGGCATGTTTCCTCAGTCAGGGGGGCTGAAGCCTGGCCTCCAGCCTTTGGAAAGGAAAAGGCCAAGCAAAATTCCTGGATACACTGAGAGTTTTGGGCTCAGCAAGAGGATTATTCAGTAAACAGACCTGTTTGATATAAAAGGGACTAGTCAGGCATGAGCACACCAGGCAATATCCCAACTCCTGCTCACCTTCAGGGCTTGGGGCAGCTCCTGCCTGAAAGGGCTCAAACAAATGAATTTCTAATAATTATTAAGACTAAACAGTGAGGTATGAAAGGTTTGCTTGTGTGTTGTTTTATTTGTTTCTCAAGGACTCCTGACTCCTCAACTGTTTCCTTAAGTCTCTTTGTTTAGGTGAGATTAAAACACTCTTTAGGCTCCCTACGTAAATCACTAATAGCAGACTCAAGGACTTCAATGGACACTTGGTCAACTCCTAAAATAGGGAAACTAAAATAAGGGTGACTGGAACAGAGACACAGAGACTCTATTATAATAAAGATGATTCTGCTGATTTAGGAAGAAGGCACCTGGGCTTTACTTCACAGCCATGCTCTGGAAAGAAGGTCAAGTAGCGAACACCGTGAAGACCATGTGCTTCTTTCCTCGACCACCAAAGATCCTCAATCTATTTTTACTACACATGCTCAGACTATGTAAATTAATTCTGGGAACTCATTATCATAAGACACTCCTTTCCAGGAAATCTAATGAATATGTCCCTTGGTATTTCTTGGGAGCCCTTATGGTGAAGAATCCCCAGGGTGAACCCAGCACTAGTAATAAAAAATACCTACTTAACAGTAAAAAGATCTTTTTGTTGAGTCAATTTCTTTGTTTCATGCCCCTATAATTTCTCCCACTGAGCCTCCAGGATCCTCCTTCAAAAAGCACCACACCACAGCAGGAGAGGAACAAACCGAGCAGCACTAGCCGAAGTCAGCCCCGTGGCAAGGAGCTCTTCTTCAGTCCAACGCGGCACTGAAGCATGACAAACCACGTCTACTCAGCACTCCTGGCATCACAGTTATTCCCCCCAGCCTGGGGGATGCTGCCACCACCCTCGCATCCCTCCCCTCCTGCACGTTTGCAAAGGGAGCACTGTGGAAACTTCTTGGCAACAAATAGCTGTGGAACAGCTGCCAGATGCAAAGCTGGCTTTATTTTCCAAGCCAGGTTCGATACCTATGTGGGATTTACATATTTGACAGATAACACACTAATGATGTGGGGCAAGCCCGGTGCTCTGCACTTACCCCTCTCATTCCACAACACGCAGCAGCCCCAAACCTGGTGCCTGCTCCACTCAGGCCCCATGAACCTTTCCCCTGTCCTGCAAGATGGGAGCAGCTTCCCAGGCATCATCTGGAAAACCCTGAGTGCCCTTCACAGATGGAGACTTTCAGCCTCAAAAGCCAAAATTTTGTCATTTATTTCCTAGTTGCCTACACACCAGGAGGAAATGAGCAGCCACAGCACCGATGCTCTGCAGTGGCTGTTAAGAACTTCTCCATTCCCAAAAGCAGCATTTAGACTCAAAAGAATAAATCGTGGCTTTCCCAGAACCGTGGATTTTGCTCCGCAGCTCAGCAGCTGGCAACAGCACACGAAGGACTCGCTCCTAGCCCAGGATTAGCTCGACATCAAGGGATCTTTTTTGGCCACGGTGTGTCCAAGTAGTTCACCGGTGGCCAGTTAATATTCTCAGTCCGCAGCCTGGCACCAACTTCCTCCAGCACGGCAGCCGCAGCTCACCACGGCGGCGTATTTTGGCTGTCTAGGGCACATCTCAAAGCTACAGCTCTCAGGGCACGCGAGGACGGGCAGCGCCTGCCGGGGGATGCTCAGAGCCTTCCACAGCCACCCCAGGACCACCATGGCGGCTTTGGAACCAACTCTGACCAGAAAGGGGTGACCCCCCACTCCCCAACACCCTACCCAGCTGTGATCCCCTGCCTCCAGCTGTGACACCCACCCCACTCCCGGGTCCAGCTGGGTCTCATCCCCTCTGCCCCCACTCACCCAGAAGTGGTCCTTGAACCGTGACTCTCGCATGCTGCTGCCACCACCGCTGCCACCGCCGCCTGTCCCGTCCCGCCCCA